CACAGTATTGCCTGTATTAACATGAGAGTGGAAAAATGTAAAAGGTTTTCAATTCTCCCTTCCTTTCCTTCTTTAAGTTCTTTGTAAAGTTGAAGAATATGGATATGGATTAGCTCAGCTAGCTGAAAGATGTTGAGGAAATTAAATGATAACAAGATTGATTTCTTGTACACTTGCTCCTTACAAATCCAAATGTTAATTTAGTATCCGCTCCTTGGATGGCAGCATTATAGTGTGGATGCTGTGTGAAATGGACCCTGCCGTCATTGCTCATAGGATTTTAAAAGTTTCAGAGCAGTTTTCATAAAAAGTAGGCAGTCAAATGCTGCATGAGATCTAGAGGACCAGTAAAATTAAGGGGTCAGAAATGGGGCCTTCCTTAGGTTCCTGATTTCAGGTCTAGGAGAGATGCTTTTCAACACCGTAGTTAAATACTAAGAAAGTGAAATTCATGTGGTGGGTGGTAATCTGAAGTTCACAGCATGGTGGGCTACATGAGGCTGTGATGATGGTGGGAAGCAACCAGGCCCTCAGATGGTGTGTCTCAGAGTTCAAAGGCTTACACCTGGAATGACAAACTACCCTGGCCAGTTCTTTCGGAATTTCCTTAATAGCCAATATCTTTTTCATTCTTTTTTTAATTTTGAAAGCTTTTTTCTTATTGCTGTTGAATCACAGTTGTCCCAGAATTTCCCCTGCTGCTCTCTTCTGTCTTACCAACACTCCTACCCCCTCAGTCGGTCCCCAGCCTGTTGTCCAATACTGTGGATCCTTTATACATGTACCTTGGCTAGAGGCTTCCCTTTCTCTCTCTGGTCTCCCTTCCTCCCTCCCCTCTGGTCACTGAGAGTTTGTTCCTTATCGTAAGGTCTCTAGTTCTATTTGCTTCTTTGTTTATTTGTTTGCTTGGTTATTTCATTCTTTGTTTCAGAATCATGAGTAGACCACAGAGAATCTCCACATGGGAGAGGGAAAGGTCCATCCTGTGCTCCTGTCCCTCTGCACGTGACCACAGTGAACAGAAAAGTATGCACTTCAACGCCAGAGAGGAACTGTGAAATAAGGGAGATGATCTGTGACTGAAACTCGGGGGCCATTGGGTTGGCACCCTTTGCAGTGTGTTAGGGAGTCAGACCCTATTCTGTTAAAATGGCATTCACGATCTCTCTATTGTATTGCTGCTGTTGTTGTTGCTGTCATGTGGCAAACTCTAAGGCAAGAGAGCATTTTAGGGGATGGTCAAATTAATGAAAATAGGCCAGGTTTGTGTGGAAGGAAGGTCAGCTAGCTGGGAAGACAGTGAGTGTTGGAAACAAAGTTTTGAACATTAGAGCAGTATGCAGCTGAAAAAACTCCCCTACACTCAAAATAGGATTTAATGGGGGGAGTGGAGAATGTACTCTCAGATTCTTCTTAACAGCTTTCTGGACAGATTTTGGTATTCAAGGTACTACAGTGATACATATTTGCTGATATCTACTGAATATTTTTGTATTCCTTTAAGTTGAGTGTTATTTTCTGAAGTTCAAATAATCATAATCATAGACATAACAAATATTGTGTAAAATCTCAATGAATTCCAGGCAATATGCACATTTTCACACACATGGAACACCACCCATGAACCCTACCAGAGAGGGCTTTAAAAAACACATGACAAATGCAGAACCTGCAACTCACACACAGGGACTAGGTGAAAGCAATGGGACTAGAAGCCCTAGACTCCATCTCTACTATCCCAAAGGACAGCTTAGGTGATAGAAGAGAGGACCTTGTGACCAAAACATTAGATGGACTACATAACAACAGCAATTAGAATACACACACAAATAAGAGATAGGAATAAAGAAGAGATCATGCTTAGTAACAGTATGAACAGGTACATATGCAATACCAGATAGTGTCAAACCACACTCAGGGCTCACACACATCAAGCTCTACCCTCCTATGCTCCCTAAGCCTGGCTCATGGAAAGAAAGAATGTATCAGCTTTCTTTTCTCAGACAGCACAGCACATGGGCTCTGATATGCACTTCAGTTTCCTAACTCTACATTGCTGGGTGAGGGGACCCATTTTCTGCAGGTTTGCAATAAGGCAAATGCTCAAGTACTAGCAGGGAGGTGTCACCACCCAAGAAGACACTAATCAAGAGACAGGTGGCAAGTTCAGGATTCCCATGGCTGAAAGGTGAGGAAACAATCAGGCCAAATTAAGTAGATCAAAGAAAATATTAAGGAGGGTATCTCAGTTCCATACAAGGAGTCCAAGGCTCTGGAACATATGCTGAGGAACCTGCCTAGGGAGGAGTAAGGGAATAAGACAGAACCTGAAGTCCTAGACTCACACCCTTATTGGATCTCCTTGGTAGCCTTGAAGGACAAAGATCGTATGAGGATGACCTTCATTTCCAACTTGGAATTCCCAGAAAAGTGCGATATTAATGTAACATGAGCAGAGTCAAGAAATCAAAGGCTAAAGTTACAGGACTGTTCACCTGTCAAAGTAAGGATCCCGAAGTGGATGGACTAAGGGTAGCACCCAGAGCATGAAAAGGAGGTCCCACAAAATTGGTGCTGTCACACCCGGGAAAGACGTGGCAGAGACGTCAGGCTGACTTGACTCTGGACAGTCTCAGGGAGGTCAAATCTTGGTGTAATGCAGACCATTTTCGGCTGGAAGAGGTAATGACAGGATCTCTAAGAGGAATCTGTCTATATGAGTATCCTGAGTATTATGAGGGGCAGCGTAAAAAAAAAAAAAAAAACGGGGGATCACATAGAAACCAGGACGTTCCATGACCTTGGGGAAGCCAGAAAAACGACCACTGAGAGTCCACGCTTTCTTCGGGGGTGATCTCTGGGACGGAAGGGCCTTGCCTTATAGGATTGAAACCCATAATTGCAAAGACAGGAATCTTGCACCGAGATGAAGCAAGGACCCTCAGTGCTAAAGGAGAAGATCACCCCCACGACCCCAGTATCTTGTTGAAGCCCTACCCTAGTGTCTGGCCTGCAAGGCCCAGGCCAAACATAGGCAGCTGTCCACTGAACTGCCACCCGGAACTCAGGACAGAGCAGATGGTGTGCAGCCGGGACCACCCATGTAACTAGAGGGTCAAGCCGAGGTTCTGAAGACACAAAAGTAGGGACCCTGAGTGAGGACCTGGGGCCCTCCCACTCCTAAGCAGTGGGGTCCCCCGGTTCCCCAGCCCACCTGCCGCGGGGCTCTCAGTTCTCAGGCACCCCAGACAGCCCTGCCAGTTAGGACCCACCCACTTCCGCCTTAGAGCCAGGGTCTTTCCCGGTGCGCCCAGGCCGCTGCTTTCCGGTTCAGGGCGGATTCTCAGGCTGTGCCTGGAGTCAACCTGAGGACCTACAGGGCAACCTTCGGAAACCACAGCTCTCCAAGAGGGTAGGTGAGCCCACCCCGACCCGGGCCTGCCTTTGGTCTCTGAGAGGCTGGAGGCGAGCCGCCGGGCTGCATTCCGTCTCAAATATGTTAGTGAGAAGGCCGTGTGTACTCTGTGGGTGTACCCTGATTCTGCAGACAGATGGCATGCACGTGTGAACTGCTTTCAGCATGAGTGCCTGAGTGCTTAAGAGTCCACCTTTGCCCAAAAAAGTGGACCTCACAGGGCCGCAACCCTGCCTTCACCTCTAGCAGGCTCCAGACACAGGAAACAGATATAAAGCATAGTAACTTTCCCCTCTAGCGGTAACTATGGGAAGCCCGGGCTGCACCCATCAACTACCAAACGCAGCAAAGGAAGCCTGGGTTGGAGGCCGAGCTGGCTCCTCATTTCTTATGGCGGTGGTCTCTGGGAGGTGTGGGCCTCGGTTTATTGGTGGAAGTCCAAATGAGGAAAGGGGACTGATACCCTGGTGAGATTCACGGGTGTGAAACTGATGAGAATGGTGGAGCGTGCCCAGAAAGTTGGGGGCGGGGTCCACCGGAAGTCTCAGGGGGGTTTTCTGACCTAGAAGATTGGTCTTATCGCCACGATGAGTTGCACTACCTTCTTCCCAGAGCATCCCTTGGAGGGACAAGATTGGGTCAAAGTGGCAATCTCCGCCCATGAGTGGCAGGATTTCACATTGTGCCGGGTATCTCAGAAAGACCATTGTGGACTTTGGCCATGTGCTACACCATATCAGCAGGGCCTCAAAGTGTCCTTTCTTTCTCCAGTGCTAGCAGCTCTGTAGGATAGATCTCAGGCTGCACTCTCCATCAGCCTTCACTGAAGGGAAACCGTGCAGTGAGAGGGGTCATCCCATATTATCAGAGAGAAAATACAACCTAAGGAGGAGACAAATTTAGAACTTGAATGGCGATTCTGCTTGGAACCAGGGATGATGGGAAATTCACCTGCATGCAACAGCCCCCGCCCACTCCTGGGTGATGTGCTTTGGTTACATAAGGTCCACTTCATATCCTCTTGTTGCATCTCACAGAGTTTGCAACTTCATAAGAGCAGTTCTCCTCCAGGAGTCCGATTGAGGAATACACAGAGGGCTTGAGCAACCAACCAGCCCTGCCAAAAGAGGACATCACAGCCTCCATCCCTACCTTTAGCTATCGGCCCAGGATAGCTCAGAGATGGGTGGTCAGGGCGAGCTTCCCCTGCATCTCTCCATACCAGGTCTAAGGGAGCTAAGATCCTTAGTCTGTAAGTCTAGCCACCATTTAAAGAGAAGGAAGAGGTGCCGGTCCTCACAAGGAGGCAAACTGAGGAACTTGACTGACGACTGATGATGATACTCACCAGCTCAGGAAACAAAGAAGCCAACCAAACTCTCGGCACTGAGTGTCCTCTGATAGGCAGGTAGACTGAGGCTCCCTTTGCCCGGGTCCCAGGGAGTGTCGAGGTGTCAATGTTAGAGTAGCAGAGGGGAATGTGCCTGTCGAAGGTGCTCATGTCCTCTCTCTGTCATCCACCAGGTGCCCAGATCACCTTTTTGTTGGCCCACACTCTTGTCGGCTTTCCTGAAAAACACCCATCATGCCTCGTGGTCACAAGAGTAAGCTCCGTGCTCGTGAGAAACGCCGCCAAAACAGAGCTGAGACACAAAGTCTTCAGAGCGCTGAGGCTGCTACAGAAGATGCAGAGGCCGCCTGCTCCTCCTCCTCAGTTCTGGCAGACGCTCCCTCAAGTGCCACCGGTGCTGGTCCTCTCCAGACACCTTCGAGGGACCCAGCCAGCACCAGTGCTGCTGCAGGTGTTTCAGGCAAAAGATCTGCTGGAAAAGCCAAAGGCCGAGTTTGGAAAAGTAGAAGTTCCTCCCAGGCCTCACCTTCCCCTGAGAGCTTTGGCCTAGATATCCTCACTCAGAAGGCAAGTCACTTGGTAGACTATCTTCTGACTCAGTATCAAATGAAGGAGCCCATTAGAAAGGCAGACATGCTGAAGATAGTCCACAAATGGTGCAGGAAGGACTTTCCTGAGATTCTCAAGATGGCCTCAGACCACATGGATCTGGTGTATGGTCTAGAATTGAAAGAAGTCAAGCCCAATGGTAACTTCTACACCCTGGTCCAGAATGAAGACGCCGCCAGCGATGAGAGTCTGAGCAGAGCCTGGAGATTTCCTGTAAAAGGGATTCTGATGCCTCTGCTGAGTGTGATCTTCCTGAATGGCAACTGCACCTCTGAGGAGGAGATCTGGAAATTCCTGGGTATAATGGGCATCTATGATGGAAAGTCTCACTTCATTTTTGGAGATACCAGGAAGCTTATCACCCAAGATTTGGTGCAGGAAGAATACCTGGTGTACCGGCAGGTGGCCAACAGCGATCCTCCACGCTACGAGTTCCTCTGGGGTCCAAGAGCCCACGCTGAGACCAGCAAGATGAAAATCCTGGAGTTCGTGGCCAAGATGAATGATAACGTCCCCACTGCCTTCCCAGCCTATTACGAAGAGGCTTTGAAAGATGAGGAAGAGAGAGCCCGAGCTGCACCCAGTGCTAGCAGTCCTTCCAAGGCCAGTGGTCACCCCAGAGCCACATCCAGCCACTACCCTCAGCCTGAGTGACGTCGAGATGGAGTGTTCCCTCTTTGGTTGGAGAGGCCTGTTAAGCAGCTTCCTAGTATGCAAAAAGTCTTGTTAGCAACCTTTGTGAGGGTGTTGTGCGTTTTCACAGGGTGTGCTTTTAAACAGAACGTTTCTTTAGGTTCAGAATGTAATTTTAAGAATGACAGGGACGACACATGTATTGCCATATACCAGGTTAGCAGTAAGCGTGGTCTTATTGAAATACAAATTGGGACTCCTTCGATCACTTTTGTGATCCAGAAGAAGGTAACATGGCTTTAGGGTAGGAATATCTTTAGCGATGTAAAGGGAGATTACACTAACATAACAGGCAACAGTAGATGGATGCATAAAAGGGTAGATAAACTAAAAGTTGGCCACTTCCCGACTTTTGATTATAATAGATGTAGAATATTATTTTAGGTTCAGGGGTACAAACATAGTGAACACACATTTATATAACTTACAAGGTGTTCACCCCCATGAGTCTACAACCCACCTGAAACATATGTTGTTATTACAGTATTATTTGCTATATTAACTGTGCTGTACCTGGCTGGGCTGTTAAAGGCAAGACAGGGACATGTCCCACCTGTAGATGAATGGCTATAGAAGATGTGGTACTTATATGAAACTCGTCACTCCTTGTTTTCCTTGCTGTATTTAGTCTTTTGTTTTGTAGCCTGTAAAGCTATGTACCTGATTTGCTTATGTTTTCAAAAATGTTAGATAATATAAATGATAGTGAATCAGGCCTCTTGGCTCATGGCTTTTATTTGACACATGCATTAATGGAGCATCAGCTCTTTGGAAGTCCTCGTGCCAACCCTGGGAATGTTTAGGCAAAAGAGACACTTCCTCTGCCCATGCAGTCTGATTGTAGGAGAAGCTGTCATTACTGAAGAAGGTGAGATTCTCTCTACTTCATAAGGAACACGTGAAAAGTAAAGGGGGAGCGGAGATAGCATATTACCTAGCCTTTGTGGCTAAGCAGAATCCAGTCCCATTGGGAGGACAAGGAGTGACCCAGGGCCATATCCAGTTGCTTCTCTCATCCTGAGTGAGGTCTGAGGTGGAGTCTTCACATTGTGGTTGGAAATGCCTGTTGGCCAGCATGCCTAATGTGCATGCATACCTCGCTGACTCCTACTTTGAGGTCATTGTCAAGGGGTGTTCTGCTAAGAGAAACCCTATTTAGGTTCAGAACGGAAGCCTAGATGTGGCAGGGATCACAGACTTACTGTTGTGTGTCAGGTGGAGGAGCGAGAGTTTTGGTTTTTCCAGTTCACCTTGAAAATCCTTAAATCACTTTTGTGATCTGGAAGAAGACAGTATGGCATTCCATTTGGGCTGTATTTGGTAATGTGGAAAAAAACTCAAACACAATAGCTCTGATGAGAGCCTAGAGTGGTAGGAAAATGTAAAAGTTGCTCCATTATGGCTTTGCCTTACTCCACTCAATGTTTCTTTTCTTAGCTTTGAAAGTTACATACATGGATATCCTTAGATGATTCAAAAATGAATGAGTTTCGGGGAAAGTAAAATGATGCAGCCACTAAGGAAGATAGTATAGAGATACCTGAAAAAGTTAAAAATTGAACTACCATGTTCTGCGGCCATTCCACCATGGAGTACTTAGGTAAACGGAATCCCTAAGGTGAAGAGATGGAAGTACCCCCATGTCCACTAACACAGTATTCACAATAGTCACCACATGGAAACGACCTCAGTAACCATTAACGAATGAATGTGGAAAAGCAAGGTGATACTCCCCCACACACACACTCACCCACTCATGGAAAAAGATACATCAATCAGTGGTAAAAGAGAATGAGTCCCTGGTATTGGGGACAGCACGTGCTAGGTGAAAGAAGGGGTAAATTTCAATTGATGCTCCTTCATTAAAACTTTTCAAAAGACAGAGACAAATACCCTGTAGTATCACTTATGGGAGGAATCTTTGAAACACACACTGATAAAGTAACTCATACATTGAAGATATTGATGTTTTCCCACTCGGTGGTGGTGGTGGAAGGCGGGTGAAATTGGTGATGGTGGCCAAAGATGCAAACTTTATATTACAAAATTAATAGCCCCTGAGGATGCAATGTACAGGATGATTACTAGTAGTTACCAATAGTGTATTAGATGTGTGAATATAGACAAGAGAGTATATCTAAACGCCGTAATTATATGCAATGAAATGAAAAGCTGTGGCTGCTGTAGTTCAGGGGAATGAGCTTCAGACTGTGAACCAAAATGTTGAGGGTTTCACTCCCAGCCAGGGCACAGGCCTGGTTTGCATGCCAGGATCCCAGTTGGGTGTGCTGGGGAGGCAACCACACATTGATGTTTGTTTCTCTTTCTCTCTTTCTCCTTCCCTTCCTGTCTTTATATATAAATAAAATCTTTTTAAAAGAAGGAAAAAAGAAAAGTGTAGGTAATTTTTTCAGTGCCTATGTTAAAATACTTCACTTTTGACAAAATGCCAGGATTTCATACATTCTACCCACATACATTTAGGACCCCACAATTCCAAAGTCAGCGATTGGGAGTGGAGTCCCTGGGATTCCTAGTTCAGAAGACTTATAACTCTGCCGTCATTGTTCCTGGTGGCTTTCTTCTCATGTGGAGCTCAGGAGCTCCTTCCAATCCATGCATTTTGGTGGGAGCAGAATTCAGTTACTAGGAATTGAAGCACTAAGGTTCCCATTTGTGTGCATGCTACGGGCTACAGATGATGCTCAGGTCTCTCTTAGGGCTTTGCTATGCTATGCAGCACCTTCCATCTTCAAAGCTAGGCAGGAGAACCTCCCTCTCACCCTTTGGGTTTCCCTCACCAAGAAAAGTTCCATCTGATTTAAGAGTTCACTTCATTAGGTCTGGGTCATGGATTATAATCTTCCTATTTTAAGAATAACAGATATCAGACCTCCATTATATCTGCCAAACTCCTCATAGCACCATCCAGATTAGTGTCTGATGAATTAAGTGCAAGAAGTTGTTTGTACACCAGGACTCAGGAATCCAGGAGGTCATCTTGGAATTGGGACTGCCTGTGTCCTTGAGGTATTTCAATTATGTTTGTAATTAAGAGCTTCAACCTTTAAAGGTACATAAAATGATAAACATTGTTATTTTGTGTGCCTCACAATAACTTGAGGTCTGAGGATGACAGATGAGAAAAGACTGGCCGTGTGTTGATATTGCTGAAGCTGGCAAAGGAGTACCTAGAGCACTGGTTACATTATACTCTTAGGACTGCAAATGTTCTGATTTCATCACATAAAATTATCCAGAGCATGCAAAGTGAACCAAAACTTCCAAGAGAATTTCAAAGGCCTTATTTATTTATCTTTAGAGAGAAGGGAAGGGAGGGAGAGGAAAGGGAGTCATCCATTTGTGGCTGGCTCTCATAAGGCCCGCACTGGAGACTGATCTGCAACTGAGACATGTGCCCTGACTGGGAATCAAATCCACGTCCCTCAAGGTCACTGACCATCACTGAATCCAATGAACCGCAACGACAAGGACAAAAACATCCAAAATTGTTAATAAAGCAAGCATAACAAGGGGAAAGGGTGAGGGATTTAGAGGAACTAGTATAAAGGACACATGGACAACAGCTAAGGAGCGTGGAAATGGGAGAGAGGTGGGGAGCACGGGGGGTGGGCTGGGGTGGAAATAAAAGGCAAAAAACTGCACTTGAAAAATAATTAAAGAAAAAAGGGCATATACATTTTTCAGTAATATAAACCTACTGTGGGGCTTGAAAAAAACAAGCATAACATAATATACGCTAATTTAAAGTAGCTGAAAATCAATTTATTATTGTATTGCTTAAGAACATTACTTATTTCCCATATCACTTAAGAACATTGTTGCAAACATTTTCAAAATATTCACTTAAACTTGGCCACATTCAACAAGACTAAGTATTCAATTACCAGTGACACAGTATTCCACTTTTGAAAATTACCCTTAAGGCATACACTCAATCATACAAAAACATATACATGTTCATGTATCGATTGATTGAAAAAGATGTGGTGTATCCACACTGAGTCAGAGCTGCAGCCCAGACTCCTCTACTGCAACTATGGCCAGCTGACTGTGCAGGGCATGTCTCACACCTCCTCCCATCCCTAGTGAGGCCTGAGGCAGAGTCTCCACTTTGTGGTTAAAGAAAGCAGCCAGTCTTGGACTTCCGGCCAAGATGGAGAGGTAGGAGGAAACACGGTGCCTCCTCACACAACCAAGTTTAAATACAACAAAGCTTTAGTAATAAAAATGCAATCAAAGCACAGAAAATTGACCTGTACAGAAGTCAAACAGCAGTGGAACCACTCAGCCAGACCCATAAAGCAGGCAAAGGAGCGAGCAATGAGACAGACTGGGCAGTGAGTTAGGGACTCAGAGCCTATTCTATTAAAATGGCATTCAAGATCACTCTGTTGTATTGTGGCTGTTGTTGTTGCTGTCCCTTCCCAGACTGTAAGACAAGAGTACATTTTAGGGGATGGTGGAATTAATGAAGACAGGCAAGGTTTGTGTAAAAACATCACCTACGTGGGAAGAAACTGAGTGTTGGAAACGAAGTTTCGAACAGTACAGTAGTATTCAGCTGGAAAAACTCCCCTACACTCAAAATAGGATTTAATGGGGGGAGTGGAGAATGTACTCTCAGATTCTTCTTAACAGCTTTCTGGACAGATTTTGGTATTCAAGGTACTACAGTGATACATATTTGCTGATATCTACTGAATATTTTTGTATTCCTTTAAGTTGAGTGTTATTTTCTGAAGTTCAAATAATCATAATCTTAGACATAACAAATATTGTGTAAAATCTCAATGAATTCCAGGCAATATGCACATTTTCACACACATGGAACACCACCCATGAACCCTACCAGAGAGGGCTTTAAAAAACACATGACAAATGCAGAACCTGCAACTCACACACAGGGACTAGGTGAAAGCAATGGGACTAGAAGCCCT